GCTTAGTCGGTCTGCATGTGAGAATCTTGATCTCGGTCGTGTGCACAGACCTCACTGTGTTCGGTCTGCATTCACCACTTCGGTTAAGGTTCTCCCATACAGACCTCCTGCTCGGTTGCTAATAGTAAGAGACCAAACTTACGTAATCGAGATGTCCTTTAAGCCAATGGCCTTCAGGTCCGGGTACACCAAGCACTGATCATGCAGCCATTTTCCTCTGTTGTACAAAGCTAACTACGAAGTTTGCTAAGAACGCAAAGCCCGCAGACACTACCACAAACCACCACAACGAAGACGAGCTTGATTCGAGAGAAAATCTCGAGACAAAATCCGTTAACAGAAGCATAATTCTCTGAACCCGATATGCTAATAAATCTTGGATCAGTTGTAACAAAATACTTCAACTGTTTTCTCTAGAGTGTCTACGATTTCGTCGCTTGTTGTCCAGGAAATTCAATTTACATTCAGTATGAAATAGTACCTTTTCGAGCGTCAACATGAAATGAGTTTTGATAGAGCCTCTGAATGAAAACTAAGCCAAAGTAAACTTACTAGACTACAGAACAATTTTAAAATAAACAACCCAGAAGGTTTTGTTTAGTGACGAGGTAGCTTCTGGCTTTTGTTCGCTGCACAATTACTTTAGATATCTTTGTTATTTAAATCACTGTTTTAGGCGAGCAAATCTAAAAAATAGGAAGCAAAGGAAATATAATCAACAGCACTTTTCGAGAGATTTGAAGATTTCAATTTTGGATTCTTTTGGAAACGGGCGGGGACTAGGCTGAGAAACCCAACACACACCTTGGGCCTCTACAAAAACACGCTAAATGCTGTATTGGCTAATTAAGTAACAACTTTATTTACTCAAGACAAAAACATGACAGCTAGCACAAAGTTGAAGAGCCATTAACCATCACTAGGGATTTCAATAAAGCCCCTTCTACATGTACACTACGCCTGAGGAATTTGAAAACGGGGCTTTGTTTCTACGGTTAAGCCTACCGTCCACACTAATCCGTGACGAAAACGGAGCTTTTCGAAAACGCTTCTCAAACCGGGAGAATTTGGAAACGCCGGCTTTTCGTTTTCGTGTAGACGGATATCATTTTGAAAACAGAGCTTTTTGAAAACGATGACAGCACAATAATCACGTGATTTCCCTGACCGAGTTTTCCTCAAACACAAATCCAAAATGACCGGTAATTGTTGCGTTTTTAAATTCCTCTGGCGTAGGGTGAACGGAAAACATTTGACGGCGCGTTTTCAGAGTAAAACCTTCGTTTTCAAATTCCTCCGGCGTAGGGTGGATAAGGCCTTAACTAAACATACAATGAATAATTGGGATTTGAATCTGTAAAATCAGTAAGCTTTAACAACAAAATAACCATCGTTGAAGCTACACATAACATTGTCCAAAAGTTTCTTACATTTAGAGGAATTTTTTTGTTAAAGAAAGTCTTATTTGATATTCACAAAATGCGTGTTAACAAGTTTTTGTGACAGACTAAACAAAACCGCTGACATCTCATTATTTGACACTTCCACCATTTCTATTAATATTGATTGGCGAACGTTTAGTGTAACATTCAGCCGTATTATTTCAATTTCCGATGGGGGATGGGGAGATGGGAGAAAGAAAGGATCTCCTTTATACGTATGGAATCGACGGGGATGCCTGGCTCATGTTTTAGACGTTACAAAAATTTGCTTGAGTTTGTACAAGGCACAAAAAGATGCCCACATGCCTTTTTTCCGGCCCTCATTTCCCCACTCGAGAGATTGAGACAAGCTCGATACCGAGCTCCTTTGTCAAAGGGAGGCCAAGAAGAGAGAGCCCGGGATCAAGATTGGAAATTTGAAATTTGATGTCGTGTCTCTAAGAGATATGCGTGGTTGAGGCTCCGCAGTTTTGAATTTTTCGCGCTCAAGTGACAATCGATCAGCACACCAATCTCAAGTCATCTCTGTGGTCAAATGGAATTCTTGAGGGTTGAATCTTTCAAACCAGCTAAAAGCAAACTTTCACGCTAGCTAAAAAAAAACGAGCTGGCTTCGCAGACTTTTGTTTTTGTGGTTCGAAATGTCAATTTTACACTCTCTATGAAAGAACACGACACTTTTTTCTAATAATATTTACCTCCCTGAATAGATCTAATGGCCTTATCTTAAAACACTAAGGCACCTACATTTAGAGCGAAAAGGTGGGGCCGAAACGTCACAAAAGATATTTTTCTTTCGCCAAGCTACTTTTTTCGGCTACTTATTTTATTCTAGGTGTCTTCCTTGTCGCGACTTGTTCAAAGCGCGTACGAAAACGGTTCATTGCATTGCGTCTCGTGTTAGCTATTTACAATAAATTGCTGGTTGAACTAGGAAACATGTTCGTTTAGCCGGAAATTCGTTACATTTATCTTTATCTTTCTTTATACACGGTTAAAAACTCATCAGGATTACAAATACAATGAGGTGAGCTCGTTGTTAACACGAAAAAGTCTAGACGAGGTGTTACAAAGTGACCTAGCTATAAGGTTTGCTTGTTATGTCCAAACTTGCCGAGCCGGGGTACACTTTATTTGTTTGTACACGAAGCTACTCGCGATATATACCATAACTCGTGGCTACGGCATACAGGGAAGGACTCCTGTAGGAGGCGGTCGCACATCTATCAAATCTCTCATCCATCACACAACGACTAGCAATACACATTCCTTGACTTTGCAGCGGTCCCAGATAAACCATACACACAAACTTGAATCTGTTAGAACCCAAAGGCTTTACACTATCATTCAATTCCTCGCTCGCTTTAAGAACCAGTTCTCGGCATTTTTCCCGCTCGTACCTCACTCCGTGGAAGGTGCGACGCAAAATGTCTTCGGCGAGCTTTCGGGCTCCGTCGGAATTGAACGAGATGTCGGGACGCATTTTGTACGAGTTCTCCATGTTTGGAGTTACCGTGTTAAAGTTATCTTCGTCCAAGGACAGTAAGATCGATGATGGCGGTCTGTTGCTATCTAGGGGCGAATTTTAATTAGCTTACTACATCGGTGTTTCACTCGTTTTCGCTGGATACATAAATTCTCCTTTCTAATTGTATAGTGTTCTTTTAGTATTAGATCTAAGATTTTAGTAGCACATCAGCACAATCTTTTAAGTCGATGATTTTCTGTATTCTCGCAAGCTATCTGTTTAAAAAAGTATTGATCTTTCTATGGAGAATTAAGCTGTTGGGCTGCACTGAGAAACTTTCAAAAGGGTCATTAGAGAAGCTGATTAAGTATGACTTAGAAAAGAGACATCTTTTGAAGTGAAACAAAAGCATTTGGTTTTGAAGAGCTCAAGTTTATAAGCCCACTAATAAAGCATTTGTAATCATTTTTTCCAGTCGAATTATTCAGTGATTGGAAGCTTTGTTCTCCCATGTGTTTACCACATGCAAGCTAACAAGCTAAGAAGTTTGTTTATTGTGACTATGGTAACAGACCAAGACTAGACAAAACTGAGTAAAAATCTGTGACTCTTCAAATTTTCAAGAAACTCCTTGCGTGTTTATTGTCACAAGTGTTAGAATGTTTCAACTGAAACAATTACTAAGAGACTCTTAGCTCTTAGAGCGTAACCTTTCTGAGCGAATAGCAGACGCGGTGCAATCGAATTTGATATCATTATCGCTCGCAGATGAGGTAGAGAAATCTAAAGCGCTGTCCATACTTATACGTTTACGTCTCTAAACCACAACTACAAAGGTAGTTGCCTTATCTGTGGTTTCAGAGTCTCGTGCAAATGTATGATTCACCATTAACCCATAAACAGATCTCACTGATTTAAGGTGTTATAGTTCATCCTAACCCTAACCCTAACCCTAGACCCTAAGCCTATTTTTAATACATCTACTTGGCCTTGAGAGTTCCGGCCCCTTAAAGGAGCTCAGTCACGGAATTTTGAGTTATTTTGGCCACGTACAAAATTGGCTTTAAATTTTAAGGAAACCTGAAAATAGCAGTTTAATAAGATAGAAAACCACCATGCCAAAGAGATAATAATAAGTCATAAAGGAACAAGGGTAGTTAAAGACGAAGAGGTTAACATGGATTACAATGTTACAATCAATTACAATCCACGAAAGATTTAAGCTAAACTTTTCAACTGTGGCGTAGCTCCTTTAAGCAGCTGATCCTCGATTGTGATGCTAAAATACTCGCTACTATTTTTAAAAAAATACATCTATAAATCTATAATATATCTCAGAATAAAAATAGTCGACATCACAACAACAGCCACGATGTACTGTGTACTACTAGCATATAAACTAAACATTACGCGAAACGTATCGTCTCATTAGAAAAAGGCACAGGACGATAAATCCTTGATGGAAGGATTTTGTCGTTCATTTAATGTCATTATAACGTTGTGGACAGCTTGAAAAGTGTTTCTACCCCTTGATCTGAACAAACATCAGTTTGGCATCTGTTTTCTTAAGGTTTTTGATGTTATAGGAATTGCCTACAAAGTAAAACGTGAAAAGCAAAGTTAGTCAAACAACTAAAACTAAATGTACAGGTCAGTATAGTGGACCAACGCTTGCAGGACATGTTACAGTTAGCAACTTGCGTTGTAGTGAAATTAGGAGACAGCTGGTCAAAAAAATTTACCTTGAGGAACGAAGAATGTCGAGCCAGTATGGAGGACGGTGGAGCACTGGTGAACAGTCACCATAACTGTTCCTTTTATAACGTAAAACACCTGACAAAAGAAACAGATATCAGTCACGGCTTCCGTTGCCGGCGTCAAGTTTGAAGTTACAGTCGAACCTCTCCACAACGGTCACCTTTGGGACAGAGGAAAGACACACAACTGTATAGATACTGGGACCTGAAGGTCAGCAGGGACCTCATAGCCAATGCCCTCAGCTTATCAACGTACACTTAAGTTCAGTGCTTGCTGTCGCGATGAAAAAAAATTCAGTACAACACCGCCGGTTACGGAAGTCACATTGTGGGAAATTGGAACGTTGACTTTCACATCCTGAAATAAGCTGCGGTTGAGTCCAGTCCCTGAAGTGAACTCTCTCTTCCCCGCCCTAAAATATGGGTTCAGGGACTGGACTAGCTGCACTGCCGCCGACTCTTGGGGGAGGGGGGAGGGAGGTTTTAGGAAACAAAGAGTAAAAGTAAATGTCTCAAAATGTACACCACGAAAATTTTTGGGATCGAGGAGAGTGCGCATCTAAAGCGATTCAAATTTCTAACCGACTACTATACATATCTCAGGAGGTTACCCGTACCTGCTTGCTCCGTACTTGTTCCGCGATGCTACATTGTAAGGAATACCATACTTACGCAGATAATGCATAAAATGACTTGCTTTTCTTATCGCTAAAATACAAATTTACCAGATTTTAGTTGCCAGCGCAAATTAAAAATTTCCGTCGGGGAGAATCCAAGATCTAAAAGTATCAACTCACCATTGTGTNAAAGTAAATGTCTCAAAACGTACACCACGAAAATTTTTGTGATCGAGGAGAGTGCGCATCTAAAGCGGTTCAAATTCCTAACCGACTACTATACATATCTCAAGAAGCTACCCGTACCTGCTAGCTCCGTACCTGTCCCGCGATGCTACATTGTAAGGAATACCATACTTACGCAGATGATGCATAAAATGACTTGCTTTTCTTATCGCTAGAATACAAATTTACCGGATTTTATTTGCCTGCGCAAATTAAAAATTTCCGTCGGGGAGAATCCAAGATCTAAAAGTATCAACTCACCATTGTGTCGTTACGAACAACCTGACGTCCCTTCTCAGCCTCAGGCCTCAAGATCACTTGCCCGCCACCAAAGAGAGGCTGTGAAATAAACTTGTGGACGATAAGCGGGTCGTCATCTTGCGCGGGTTTTCCTGACGGATTCGTAAAGTTTAACATGGCCGGAGTATGAAATATATCTAAAAATAGACAAGTTAAGTTAATCTTCTTTGCTGAACAACGATTGGTTCATTAAATCGCGAAGCACGCTTTATCCAATTAGGAGCGAAACAAAACTAATACCTGACTTAGCTGGAACCTGATTTGGTATCGGTAACATGTTTTCCCGCGCTTGGCATGGTCGGGTTACATGTTTTCCCGCGCTTGGCATGGTCGGGTTACATGTTTTCCCGCGCTTGGCATGGTCGGGTTACATGTTTTCCCGCGCTTGGCATGGTCGGGTTACACGTTTTCCCGCGCTTGGCATGGTCGGGTTACATGTTTTCCCGCGCTTGGCATGGTCGGGTTCCATGTTTTCCCGCGCTTGACATGGACGGGTTACACGTTTTCCCGCGCTTGGCATGGTCGGGTTACATGTTTTCCTGCGCTTGGCATGATCGGGTTACACGTTTTCCCGCGCTTGGCACGGTCGGGTTACATACTTCCCCGCGCTTGGCATGGTCAGGTTACATGTTCTCTTCTAGTTGCTGATTTTCTCATTTGCAATGACCTGTCTGGTTGACCATGTATTAGTCTTGTTATAACAAAAAGTGGATTTTGATTCCTCTGGCCTCACCCATTTGAACCTCTTCGTTGTTCTCTGCGTGTAACACCATGCCTGTTGGGTTTGTCATCTCTTGGAATCCCTCTAAATCCTGCTGTGGGAAAAAACAACAACTCAATTATTATCGCTATTTTCTCTAGATCTTCAAGCAAATGAAAATTAGCAAAATCCTCCAGAAATTCGACAAGGATCCCAACAACGTTTCCATCAAAAGTTTCAGAGTGTCAGTATAACCATAAGCTTTTCGACAACATGGACTGAAAGCACAGTTCGTAATAACGGAGTGTAGGTAATTCTGTGTTAGACCTCAACATAAACGCAACAATGTTGTTGGACTGTGATTGCTTCTTCCAACACAATAGGATAAAACAACAGTGTAAAATAAGAGAAATGATTTATTCTTAACCGGCTTCGATGTGATTTCTTTTGTTTTATTCCTCTTAGCCCCAGAGCCAAGTTTGAATTTAGATGTATCATAATTTGCCTTTTCAGTGGTATTAGCAAACCGTGCTAGAAAAGAAAAAAAGACACGTGAGGAAAGCCCTGATATTTTCAGCTGTTTCTATGTCTTGAACGAAGCGAGAAAAGTAGAAACAAGAAAGAACTTGATTTCAAGTGACCCTTGTTTAATTGAAATTATCTTTTCTTGATTACTTTCTGTTTGGGAGGCGCGGTGGCCTCATGGTTAGCGCGCTCGTCTTCGGATCGAGCGGTCTGGGTTCGAGCCCTGGCCGGGGACATTGTGTTGTGTTCTTGGGCAAGACACTTTACTCTCACAGTGCCTCTCTCCACCCAGGTGTATAAATGGGTACCGGCGAACTTAATGCTGGGGGTAACCCTGCGATGGACTAGCATCCCATCCAGGGGGCAGTAGAAATACTCCTAGTCGCTTCATGCTACAGAAACCGGGATAAGCTCCGGCCTGATGGGCCACTTGGCTCGTATGCAGACTTTTTTTCTGTTTATATTATAATAAGCTAAAATCTCGAAGCTGAGAGTTATAAAAGCGACTTACATTGTCAAGTTCTTCTTCTGAAAAATCTACAGCATTTTCTGCGAAGACAAGGACATATTGTCAGTGCCGCAAGAATCTAGCAACAGGCAGACAGGTAGGCAGAAAGGGAGCGAGAGGAAACATTTAAATTACCGTTGTTTTCCTTTCTGACAACAGGCTTCTTGTTTTGTCTAGGCTTTCTTTTGTGCTTGGGTGTCGGAGTTGGATTTTTGATAATGCCCTTTATGCACCATCCACCTGACAAGAGAGAAGTCAAAACACAGGGACGTTTATATACCAGTTATGATTTGTTCCTTTTGAACAGCTTTTTCCACTTCCCCCAGGTGAGCGTAATTTCGTTTCGGTGAAATAGTTTGACCGTTTGACCAATGGTACATGTTGACTAAAATAACCTTAGTACTGACTGCTTTTTGTCACCCGTCTCAATGTTTTCAAACTCAACCATCTTTGTTTCCTTTTAGCATATTATTACCTTGTTGGATTTTCTTATATATTACCTTATTCAACAGTTACTTCGAAGTTTCCTTCAAAACGCAGATATAGTACAAATACGGTAGTTATGCAACCGCTCAACCATAGTTAATAGAGGGGAATGGTTATGAANATATACTTTTTTTCTTATTTTCTAGTATTTCTAAATTTTTAATTTGCTGTTACAGCTGTATTTATTACTATTTGTATTTCAGATTGAGGGCCACTGGTTCATCGGTTTTTACTGTCATGTGCTACCCTCGAAAAATAAAGTTGTTACTTACTTACTTAGCCTAAATTTTTCAAGCTCGTCGTTTGTAATCCGTGTTAATCTTCTCCATCCTTCACCATCCTGGCTTCTTCATGGTTTATTATTACATCTTTGGTGTTCTTCTTTCTTGGTAAACTACTATTTTCAGGTTTCCCTCAATTTACAGGTAATTTTGTATGTGGCCAAAATAACTCTAAATGTCAAGCTCCTTTAGGTGGAAGGCCTGAGAACTAGCTAGTTGTAGCTAAGCCCATCGACCACTATCAACATTCAACATCTAACATTTGAACATTTTTGGACATTTTTTGGAAACAATGTGACTCCTTTAGTATACCATAATTATAAACATTATTTTGTAGAACAAATACACGTACAACAGCATTTGGTGTATTTTACCTGATTTTCGGCGCTCATAATCTATCCGCTCATTTTTCCAGTACTGTAATGGCGGCACAATGGTCCGTTTACTTCGTCTCGTATTCTGTTCATCTGGTGTATCTACCACAACGACAGACAATCAAACTAACTGGCAATACACTACGTAAGTACTTCACTACAGCATGGAAGGACGTAAGAAAGTCCTGTGTGACAGCTTCTTTTGACAACTGTTATGCCTTGTTCAACAGTGGCCATTCGCGTTCTATTTGGAAAAGTGAACTTGCCAAAAATTGGCAGGCAATCAGGCCAGTGACTGAATATCGCAACGCAAGACACGGCTTCTGTTGGGATAACTACGAATTTGGGTACGATAAATTAGGAAACTATAAGCAATATAATAAATTCTTTCAACTGAGATTGATAGCAGTTAAAAACTGANTTGGCACAGGTTATAAGACAACCGCAACTTCATTCCCAGACTCTCTTTCCTCTGCCTTACGTTGGTCGTGTAGCCCAGTATGTGAGCGTGATGACATGTTCTTTGGTATTCACGTAAAATCATCACTTTTTTCTGCTCTATAAAATCCAAAACTAAAGAGCCACCAAACTCATTATTCTCATCAGGAATAAGAGGCGGTAAATTAATATCTGTTAACAACTTTTCAGCTCAATAGCTTGTTTCCAGGCACATTTTTGAATTTCAGAGTTTAATATGGTGGTGCGTGACATAAAGCTATGAACGCGAGTGTCGAAAAATATATACTTATCTCGTGATTTTTTAGCCGTTTTAGAAGTTAAAGTATTAGAAAAAGTGCTTTTTTTAATGTTTGCTTGATCAGCTCAGATAATCAGTCGCCTAGATAGCCAAAATAAGTTCCAGATATTCACACTGTTTTCCGGGCGCCATGTTGGAGTACCATGGAGGTGCACCAACATGGCGGCATCATACTGGGCTCCGTAAATTTGTGCAAAATATTTCGACGAATGTTTGAGGTTTGGGAAAACGTACAGACCTAAAACTTGGAGAAGTGTCTTCTTTATTTATCTCCTTTAACATCATTGTTTCTTGACTTTTTTCGAATTATTTTTTTTTTTATTGCGTGACAGTGCAACCCAAGAATGGCCGAGTTCAACAAACTATACGGAGTGTGATTAATTATTACTCATGACGTTCGTTGTAAGAGATCCCGCGGGGGGGAGGGGGGGAGGGGAGGGGTATCACCCTCTGATTGTCTAGCATCATTAGTAATAGTGACCTCCTCTTCAGGATCAATAGGAGACTCCCCGGCACTGGAGCTGCCAGCAGAGCCCATGGAAGACCTGGCAGTTCCAACACTCCCTGGAGTGAAAGTCTCATCTGTGGATAGGTAGCTGCTGCATTTGGACGCAAACGACAGGCCAGCAGAGGAGCGATTTGCAGGAACAGACGGTGACTGATGGACAAACGGTGTGGACGCAAAACTGACCGTGGAAAGGCGCTTCCTGTTGGGCTGTTTAGCTGGTAATACACTCTCGTCGTCAGCATCGCTACCACCTGAGTGAGATTTGTCTGGGGTCTTACCACGTTTTCTAGACACTTAAAAAAGGTAAGAAGAAAACATCATATGAAATGCCAAAAAGGCAGATGTGGATACCCTTGACTGTTGTGGCTCTAATTCTCCTTCCGCAAGGGCTACCTCTGCCAACCTCACTTTTTACTTCTTGCATAAGAACTGAAACTCTCGTAGTTAACAATAAAATCATATGTACATGTATCATAACTAATGCAAAGTGCAGCCATGAGAGGTAACGGGTTGAAAGTATTGAGACATTCGCTCACTGTAGTAATTTAACCATAACCATGCAAACGTCTGTATATTTGACCTTTTTTTCAAAATGAAAAAAATTTCTCTGTCCCATGTTTGCATCAGTTACTCAATAGCCCATTCAGTGTTCCAGATAAGTGAGGGGTCTCAGCTAAAACACCCGACAAGGTCAGCTACATGTACATGACCTGACAAATTGAAAGAAAATTTATAATGAAAAGGTGGGAGCAGTGGGAATTGACCCGTTGGAGTTCCTCATTGACACCCTGTCTTGAAAACTTATCTGACCCCTGCCATTCTATAATTTGCTAAGTGAAAAGAAATATATTTTCGACACCTTTATACTAATAAGGAGATTCAAAGATCACCATATCGAGTGTAAGTACCTGTAGCAGCTCGCCCTACACTGCCTCCTGACTTGAGAATTGACTTTAACGCGGTGACTGGCTGAGCTGGAGTCATGGTGCCTGTTCCATGCACCAAGACTGATTCAATGGAACTGTCGCCCACTTCAGTCGCTTCTGGCACAGAATCATGTACATCAACTTCATCAACAGCAACAGAAGCAGCGTCCTCAATCACATTATCGTCGTTATTGGCGTTTTCCACTGTAGCGCCTGACACGCCACGGCCACGTTTAGGACACTCTTTCTCGTGGCCTTGGGCAACAGATTTCGTCGCACCTTCAGATGTCCTTCCAGGACGTTTAGCTCTATCTGACATCCTAGGATTTGTGGTGGCTCCTTTCCTCGACGACTTCTCTTTACCAATGCTTGTTTGGTTCCCTTCGACTTGTAATTTGCGCTTTTTTGCATCTGTTTCAGACATCGAGTCATGACTGTTTATAGTGGCAGAGCTTTTTGAGTTGTTTCCTTTGTTGGGTAGTCGTTTTGTTGCATATGGTGGCAAAATCCGTGAGCGCTTTCTTCGTTTACGCCTTATGCCAGTAATAACCTTTTTCGTGGACTCCGAACTGGAGGAAGCATTGCTGAATACATTGGTGATGTTAGTCACTAAAACATGTTCACTGGAAGAAGCCTGCCCCTTAGCCAAATCCTCCATAGTATCAAGAGCATCCCTTTTATCTTCTTGCTCTGCATCATGTTCTCTTTCTTCAGTCACTTGTGGTTTTCTTCCTTTCCCTCTCACCCCTCCCCTGACTTTGGACACATCTTTCACCTCCTCTGTCAAATCCTGCTCATCACCTTCCCCCAGCGTCTTATCTCCTCCAACACTTTGAGACTTCCTACCTCCCCTCTTACTGTAAGCCTGGGTCAAGTTTCGTTCATTTGCAACACCATTGTTTCCCTTATTCTTCTTTACTTTTTCCTTTCTTTTCACCCTTGATTCCTTTTCAGATTTCTCAATTTCTTTTTCCATCTCCAAAGATCCCATATTTTCACTTTCCACTTCCTCAGTTTCTATATCATCATCAACAACAACTTCGTTTTCTTTTCCTTCTCCTGAGACATCATTTTCCTTGTCATCTTTCTCCTTTTTTCTCTGTGCCCTTGTCTTTCTCCCACTAACTTCAGTCGTTTTGTTTTCACCTGGTTGTTCACTCCTGTCTGCAGCACTCCCGTTTTGTTCTGCTCTATTTTCATCCTCAACTCCTTCTTTTGGTCTTGTCCTGTGACCTGATAGCTTCTTGTCATCACTGTCCACATTAATCACCTCAGCTGCTCCATCGTCCATGTTTTCAGTGTCACTTTTTTGCTTTCTTCCACGTGTAATTCTCTTCTGTTTTTGTGTGATTTTTGATACACTCTTCCTTCCTCCGGCTTTTTTCTTCCCGTGTTCAATATCAACGGCACTACTTTCGTCACCATCATCCCCCTCATCTGACACCGTAACTTTCCTCTCGCCTCTTGTTGACTTTTGTTGTTGTCGTTTACCTGGTAAGCTTGTTGCTCTTCTTTCCTCTTTCTCATCAGTACCTCTATTCTGAACTTCCACAGCCTCTGACTCCACAGGCTTCCCTTTCCCAGCTGCCTCTTTCTTACTCCTTGCGGAGATGACCTGCTCTTTGCTGTTGCTCGACAAATCCCTTCGCTCATCCTCCTCCTTCTCATCAGCTTCTGTCTCCTCTGTCTCCACTATCTGTGGCTCTTCCACCGCCTTTTTCTTTCTTCCTCTTGTTGCTCTCTGCTCTGCTGGCTTGGTGTTCGTTAAACCCTTTTGCCGTATGGGTATCTTGGATTTCTTAGCCCTGGCGTCAGGCTCAGTTTGACTGTCTGAGCTGGACCCGAATTCTGGTGACATTGACTTGTGCCTGGTCCCTTCCAGAACAAAACTCTCGCTCATGATGAAACTCTCAGCGTTGCTCGACACCGGGGTCTTACCAACAGCTGCATTGCTCTTGGCAATTCGTGTTGTGTTATTCCCAATGGTTAGAAAGGTGTCGTCCTCTTCAATTTCTTCGACATCAATGACCTCATCATCTTCGTCAGCGCGGTTTTTTGTGTTTCGCGCATGTCCCGCATGCTCTTGTTTATCCTTCTTTTTGCTCTTGACAGCAAGAGAAGAGCTGTTACCACTTTCCTCGACAATAAGGTTAGAATCATTGCTCAAGTCAACAACGTCAATTTCAATCTCACTTTCTACAATTTCCTCGCTGGTAGGATCTGTGTTCTTGCAACTCTGTGAATCTCTGTTGATATGAAAGAAATGGAATTTCTTTTACAACAATTAATTCCTACAAAAGCAAGGCCTTAAAACGAAATCTAATGCCTGAGAATATGTCATGACATTCGGCAGAACTAAACTGTAAGTGACAGTAACANTTCATTTGAGATAGTTTATCACAAGTACAAACCAACCTGCAGTGAACTTGATTATTTTCTGATTCATTTGGCGATTTGCCATTTGCGAATGACAACCTAGAGACAAACATACAATGGTAATAACTGTTCAAATAAAACATTTTGACAAGGAAATTAAAGCCATACAATGTACATGCAGGTTGGGGCAGATAGCATCTTTGTTGTGTTCAAATTCAACATGAAGTAATACAGCATACTAAATGAATTAAGTATCTTCTTGTGGCAATATACTGGTATGTAAATTTTTGCCTTGCCTTACTTCACCTCACCACCCGTAATACACTGTTTCTGCAATCATACTGCAGTAAAAGTAACATCTCACGTAACATGGATCGTCGGCTTTGCTACATACAATATTATTTTCAAGCCTCAGTTTTAGGTCAGGTAAATGAAAGTATCCCCGCTGTTATGTCTGGCCGAAATAGAGATTTGAAAGGAAACCTGTCGTGCTGTGTAAGTAACAAACATTATTTTCAGCACTGTTGTTAGTACACATACCTCTTCTTAATTGGTCCTCTTAACTGAGGGGTTGGTTGTCGAGATGCAGGATTTTTAATGGCAGTTCCTGTGTCATTTGGTGACTCATCATTTCCTTCAGGAGTATCTGCTGGTTCAACTTCACCTGGAGATGACTCCATGGATTTGGTGGCCCCTATAGATAGTGGCATGCACCGTTGAATTTTAGCACATTTGTATTATTACATGTAGTAATAAAACAGTCGAGAGTCCCATTGGTGACCATATCAGTCACACATAAAACTTCAGATCAGCTTTTTTTTTGGAAGGCCATATGTACATGTGTGCATGTAGTCTACTGTCAAAGTAAGTCAATATTTTGGTTGGACAAAACAAAATTACATTTCAACATCTAATTTACATTTTGTGCACTATAAGGTGTGTATTCTACTAAAGTTTGAGGAGGAAAGCTTTAGATCTTTGGTAGATCAGTAGATAAAAACATGCGTCTAAATACATCTCTATGGATAAAACATTTTGTCTGGCTACAGGTAGCTACATGTTTGACACAGTCTACGTGACTGTTGCATAATTACAGTCCATATACTGTTTCACTCTGTAAAATGATGCAAAGAGTTCAATGCTAACTTAAAAAGTACTGATTTGTAGCCTTTTGGAATAGGAATGCAGTATTACAAAGTATGATTTAGTCTGGAATCAGACTGTTATTTGCAGCCTTGTTGTTCATAATGAACAACCACCAAAGCATATAACGTTCTGTTAAATCAATGCAATTCTGGCCCAACCATTTGAGCAACGAAGAGCTGTATGAAGCCACAGGGAGTTCGCCAGTGTCAGTCCTTATACAAGTGAGAAGACGGTGATGGTTAGGGCATGTATTGAGGAAAAGTCCTAACAACATCTCGAGGACTGCATTGACGTGGGCACCTGAAGGAAAGAGGAGGTGAGGTCGACCGAGGGAGACGTGGAGAAGAACCTTGGAGAAGGAAAGGAACAAGCTAGGATAGCATACATGGGGAGCTGCTGCTACATCGGCCTCAGACCGGGATGGGTGGCATGATCTTCTGGCCGGCC